TCTTGAATATTTGGTTGTCAAGGAATGTTTCTTGACAAGAGAATGTTATATGTCAAGAGGTCAGTGGGAGTCAAAATGATCTTGAAAAGTTTCAATAACTAATCAAGAGTACACCTATTGTTAATCACTAGCAAATGACTTGAGGTTTAATAACCTATCGTGTTGACATATTCATGTGTATGTGCAAGTCCAGTTGAGTTGACTATGCATGTGAGTTCTATGAGTTCTCATTTGAATGCAAAAAGGCAAAGCACCTTAATCAATGAAAGTTCATTAATCTATATGGGTGAGCTGTTGAACAACTTGGAAGACATGGTAGGCCCCTTGTACTACCAGGTGGCAAGAAATAAAGATTGAACAAGTTTAGTCCATATGAGTTTGGGTTTGTCACAAACATTGTCTTGCAATTATGGTTATGACAAATTCACATGGATAGGAACACATACACCACAAAATCTAAGTGTCATAAGTTTTCTCTCCTTCATGAAAATGATTTTGAGGAAACTCTTTCACTAGGAAGATTTTAAGAAGATAGAAATTGTGATATTTGCATTCTCAAATTCGATTATGATTACGACATCCCTCTTCATAGTTCGAATTGTGAGATTTGGCAATTAGTCTGAACATTTTAGGACTTATTGATATAAGTTTTGAAATAGTTTAGACACACATATGATCTTTCTATTAAAAGGTGTATGAGCTTAGATAAAGTCTTATCGAAGCATCACATATCAAAAATATGAACTTTGGCAAGAAAGTCAATAAGTATTGATTTCTAGAAAGTCCAGTTGATTTCTGAATACATGTCAAAACTAGTGGGAGTATAAGTGTTATATTGGTAAGGATATAATTATCATGTTAATCGGAGCATGATTATTATCTTAAGTGTTGCAAGTTAGCAATATTAATTATAGAAAACAAAAGTTTCAATTCGCAAAGTTGCAGAAGTTGAAAAAGTTGTTTTGATATAGTTAAGGGAGAGGAACTTATACTTCATTTCAAATCAAAAAGCTTAGATCGAGAAATTTTAATCGAATTTAGTCAAAGGACATATATGAATGTTATGTTGAAAAGATTCAACATAAGGAAATTCTATATATGGCAATATTATAGCAGGAGACTGGTAAAGTATCATGTTTTTATGTAAGACATTATGTATCGTATCCCATACACTTTGGGTATATGATCAATTACAAATGCTGTAATATTCGATTATTCTAATTTTCCAAATGCCTAGGGCATTAAGAGGGAAAAATGACTAGAGTCGGATATGACTGAATTAGTTAAACAATTGTCAAGGACGATCTAAGGTTCACTAAGAATTGGTCACTTGTGAGCAGTTCGAAGTAAACCAATGAATGGAACATATCGACATTATTATGAATATATAGGTTCTATTACGAATGAGATGTCATATGGAAAATATGTAAATGTATCCATAATGGGAGTTGCATATTAAGAACCTATGTAGATTAGAAACTTTTATGCAAGAAGGATGCTCAAAGGAATGTACTTTGAATGTGAGACTTCATATATGTGGAGTTGTCTTGTAACAATCTCTAATATAGCACTTTGTAATTTCATTGGCAAAGTCTTTGTGACTTTGGTGCTAAGTCATTACAAAAGGATCATTACGTAAAATGTTAGAATCTAACATATTCTAGTTGTGGCAAGAATTTGGTATTATTACACTTATGATGAGGATTGGGAATTGTGAAATGAGCATCATTGGAAATGTGTTCAATTGTTCTATTTCACAAAGTAAGGATCATAAGTAAACATAGTGTGCATGCTTGGAGCATATGACAACTATTTTTATTGATTCAAGTATTAAGTTGATTAACCGAAACATTATACAATGAATAATGTGTAATCAATATGGTGATTAAATAAAATGTATTTATTTATACTCACAAGTTTTGAGGCCATATTGGATTTGATTATTCTTGTGTTTCACTTCGCATGTTTTGACTTCCCGAATAATAAGATTATTGAAACATCCACAGTCAATCATACTTTGGAAGTAGGTAATGAGGTAAGACTGTCATGAATCTGACTGTAGATTGTCTAAAGCATTTAGACATAGCAAAAGTCTCCTGCAGTGTTCATGAGTACCCCTGAAATAAGATTTGAGTATTGGATTAAACCCACTCTCACATGAATCACTTCATGGATTTTATCACGAGTGATTGTGAGATGATAGTATCTTATATTAATGAAACCAAGAGATATGAGTTGTAGTTTGCAAGTCAGTTTCACATTGATGATATGTAAACGCACAGTAACTTGGTGTTATAAAACATATTGTTGTGTGTGATTTGATGAGTAAATAAAGCAAGCATATGAGTCGAAGTTTATTCGTTCCTTTTATCCAAAGTGGATAAAAGTGATACATGTGGGCCCCTCGATGATTTAGTGATGACACCGTAAAGTGCTTGGCCAAGCCTGGACTAAGTTAATGTGTTCAATTGTAGTCTGTCGTCAATCATCATAAATCGGAAATCGGGAAACAACACAAAGACTGAGAGAATGATTATAATCCATGTCTTATGTGTATACCATATCTTGAGAATAGAGGAATATTTGATCCCTTATCTAAGGACATGTCACTGACTAGGTTAGTGTTAGAAAACAACTTTTGATAGCTAAAATTTGCTAGTCAAATTTTGAAGTTATACTTACAACTATAGTTATTAGACTTATACAAGTGGGAGATTGTTGGATAGGTGTCTAAGCCCATAACTATAATTGGTATGTACCTGAATTGATAGTAGCAATGTCCTTTTGGGTTGCGTTCAAACCTAGCAATTAAATAGGATAAATATTGGAGAGAGAAGAATGATTTATTAATTTATTAATTGGTTAATAAATTAATTTGAAATCAAGATAAATGATTTATTAATGTATTATGAATATAATATATATTAATTATAAAAATCATATTGTTTAATTAATATTTAACCAAAAATTAATTTGGAATTAATTTTAAGATTAAAGGAATTAACTGAAACTGCAGGGACTAAAGATGACAATGTTCAAAAGTTGAGAATTGAGTATTCTAGAACCTCCCTTAGAGGTGGGGAACGAAATCTAGAGTTTCCTAGGGTTTCCTTGGGCTCTAAGGGTGTATTGGAAGCCTTAGGGAGGAAGTTAAGGGATTAGAGTTATCTAAGATATATTTGCCTTATCCTAAACCTTCCTTATCACCTATATAAAGCCCTATAGGGTTGGATTTCTTCCCATGAATTCCAAGAAAGGCTTAGAGCCGAATTTTCACTTCCCTTCTCTCTCTCTCTCTCTCTCTCTCTCCATAGCAATCCTTGGTTGCTAGGTTTGTTTGTGAGCCATTAGAGGCGCGACACTTGTGGCACTTGCTACCAAAATTCAAGATCTTAAAGGATTTGATTGTTATTACAATATAACAATAAAAGTATGTATACTAACCCTAATTACATGTTAATTTCGAAAATTATATGTGCCTCCTAGGGTTTCTAGTTTTTGTGTTTAATGCTTGTATGTCTAATAGTGAAAACATATATCCTCAAATTAGGGTTGCATGCACATATATGATTGTTTTCTATGTATAAAACTCATCAGTAAATTATATAAAATACTTCATATCTATGTGTAAGATGAAAGTAACTATGCACTCACTTGATAAGGTGGTGATTCGGCCATCACTTCGCTTCTTAAAATAATCTTCTTTGGTGAAACCGGGAGGTTTGCTTGAAAATCGGGTTCTGTACGGGCATAGTTCCAAACCGAAAAACTCTTTTTATTGGAGCCTTCGGGTGCTCCGGGGATTTCTTCTAGTGCTATTGAGGTTTAACTGACATAATTTTGAGGTTTGTATTGGTGGTGGTTGCCGAAGGTGAATCGGGGTGCTCGGTTATCAAATTGAATTTGCTACATAATCTTTGAAGGGTAGTGGTCTGATCGAGGAAAAAGACGAAAAAGGGGGGTGACCTATATTTTTTTAAATAAATAAATAAGAAATAATTATTAAATAAAAAAAGAATTAAGATGGGCAATATAGTTTTTTTTTTATAAGTTCTGGCATTACCAAACATGCAACTAGGCCTGGCAATGGAGCTGGTTTTGACCCTGATCCGATCCAAACTCTTAAGAATTATATGAGTTTGGAGCATAGTTTTTAATTCGTTTACCTGTTAACGACGCGTACCCGCTAACCCTTTTATTAAAAGGGTTGGGTATAGATCATCACCGATCCGATCCGTTTATAATCTGCCCCACATAAATTTTAGAAATATATGTTTATATTTTATCATGTCTAAAGTTTAATTTTAATTATAATCGAAAGTCCAAAGGGAAAAAACCAAAGGCCAAACTATTTTTACATAGGACTCGAGGAGTCAACGTCTAGATGGTCTATTAACAAGAATCAATGTATCATTTCATATATATTTCATCAAACAATTCCTAATTTCCTTTATAAATCAATAAAGTCATTATTAACCGGAAGAAAGTTTGCAATTGCTATTCTCTATCACCGCATTAGACATTTAAAAATCAATCGAAAGTTACTACAATAGTAAACTTAATTCCGATCGAAAGTCCTCGAGTATGTATGCGTTTTCTAAATAAACATTTTTTTTATTATTCAAAAACCTACAGGTTATGGTGCAGGTTCGGATATCTGTTGATATGGTGGATAAGGGTATGTGTTTGATTATTCAAAACCTTGTGGGTTACAGAGCGGTTTTTGATTGGATTTTAAAATTTGTTAAACGAGTTTGGATCAATATTGATTCGCTCTAAACCCGCTCCATTACCAGATCTACATGCAACAAAAAATACATTTTATAATCCAAGTTAAAAAAAAATAAAATTAGGGACTAGGTGTGTAGATTACCCCGAACCATGGGGACCATCTGCATAATTTACTCTATGATAATAATAATAATAATAAATTATAAAAAAGATCTAAAAAAATTCAAAACTCTTTTTATGTGATTGATATTAAGAATTAATTAAGGGTTAATCAGGAATCCCGGATACAATTAATAACGAGATGGCAGAACATTTTTTTTTAATTCTTAACAAGAAAAAAAATATAAAAATCTATCACAGACTATTAACCAAAACGGTATAACCAAGAAAACGTACATGTCACCCAACAACAAAACTACAAGTAGCATAGACATCTGTATCTCACGTAAGTTTACAATGAGCAAGCCCAAAGCCAAATACACTAATTAAACTTTATTACATTTCATGTAATATTTTCTTTAAGTATACGATTTTACTTTCTGAGTCTCGAGTTGGGCCACTTTCATCTGGCTCGTGACAACTGTATAGCTTCTTGATCGAGGGTTGAGTCATCACCCCATGCAAACTGGTGAGACATTCGAGAGAATTCTTGAACCCTAACTTCTTCTATTTGTTCCCATTCTGCCCATCGCTCCACCAAATCTTGTCCTCGAAGCATATGAATGACATCTCCCATTTTTGGACGATTCTCTGGTGAACCTTGGGTGCATAACAAGGCCACCTGAAGCATTGTTTCAACTTCTTTTGCATCATAAACTGTGAGACTCGGGTCCACAATGTCACTGATCCTCGTTTCCCTGAGCAATTTCTTGATCTGAAGTTGCAAGATAATGAATCAACAAGTAATCTTTAAGATGATGAATCAACAAGTAATCTTTACGAAGGGTGTTTTTGTAATTCAACTCAAACACATCTAGATAGAAAATGGTACTTACATGATCAAGAAGGAGAACATCTTCCTCATCTTCAAGGCGAGAAAGATCCACCGCACGTTGTCCCGTTATAAGTTCCAACAATGTTATACCGTATCCAAAAACATCGGTTTTTTCCGAGGATTTTCCTGTGGACAAATACTCGGGAGCAATGTGTCCCATTGTCCCACGCACTTGAGTTGTAATATGAGTGAGATCATTATCTACAAGCTTTGCTAACCCAAAATCCCCAAGAACAGGTTCAAATTCATCATCTAAAAGAATATTTGCAGCTTTCATATCACGATGAATGATCTTTGGAGTACAATGTTCGTGCAAATATTCTAGGCCACGAGCTGTACCAAATGCTATACGTTTTCGTGTTGCCCAATCCAAGGGTTTCTCTCCCGGTTTCAAATCTATTGTTGATAAAAAAAATTCACATGTTAAATGCACGAAATAATAATTTATTATCCTACTTTGCATTTTGAAAATTCTACCCAAACAATTTTTCTGATATAATTGGGTAGATTTTTTTCAAAACACAATGTCACAATAATAAAGTGAAAGTACAATGCTATAATATATATTTTTTGTTTTCAAAATACAATTCCTAACTAAGAAAATAATTTTTTAATATGATACCATAATAGGATGAAATAAAATTAGGGTGCTATAATACACAAAGAGAAATTAAATATCCTCCTACCTTTTGTTCATAATTTTCCTTCTACCTATTTAAGATGATGACAAGTGTATAAATTTAACATTTCATCCAAATTTAAATTAAATTAAATGACACTTGTCACCATCTAAAATAGGTAGGAGAATATTAGGCACAAAAGTAGGAGGATAATTAATTTGTCATACACAAATAAATGAAAGCACATTTATATTTCTTGTCCTATTGACATAAGTATCAGTACAACTTCAATTCATGCCAAACAGAGTACAAGAATGCCTAAAAGTAAACAATCAACATACCTCGTAGGTGATATGCAACGCTTAGATTTTGCATAAATGGATAAATAAGTACTCTTTCATACGATGTTGTAGAAAACCCAATCAACTTAAGAAGATTACGATGAACTGCAACACTTATCAACTGAATTTCCCTCAAGAAAGCTGCCTCGCCACCTGGACTCTGATAATCCGCGAGTCTTTTAATCGCAACTTTTGTGTTATCTGCAATAACACCCTTATAAACTTTCCCAAAACCTCCTCGACCTATGATATTGCTTTCATTGAAGTTGTTGGTTGCCAGCTGTACTTCCCGCCATGAAAATCTTTTAAGTTGCCCATATGAAACTAAACTGTCATCTTCACCTATAATATGAGTAATGTATTTTATTTGTTACATATTGCTATTATTGGTAAAATAACGTAACTACACTAAAATATGAGTAATATGATATGAGTGGAAGCATTAAGCAACCTTCTACATCAATGAATAAGTCACGTTCAAGTTTGGACATAAGCTTGAATCGGTATAAAAAGATGGCTCCTAACAATAAAAGCACGAGAGCAGCACAACCAACGCCAAAAGTAACCAACTTTAGTTTTGAATTTTTAGTAGAACCTATGAAAAAATCAAAAAAAAAAAAAAAAAAAACGATTTTTAGTCATAGATATAAAATTTTGAAGGGAAAATAAGTAATAAGTAATAATGAATAAAACAAACCTGAAACAGAGGAGCCTGAAATGCAAGGTTGTGGAAACGTGGCACCACAATCGAGAGATGTTTCTGTAAAGCTGAATAACATGATAATTAATAAAACAAGGGTTAAATGTCTAAAATACCCTTCAAGTGACGGGATTGGTAAGGGGCTCAATTTTGTATTTAGTAAAGGTGATAGAAAACTTTTAGTATATAAAAAAAATTATAAATTAAATAAAAAAGTATGTTCCATACTTGAATACATGAGTCGAGAATAACTTTTCAGGGATTTTTCCACTTAGATTGTTGCCCGAAAGATCTCTGGAAAATGAAAATAGAGTTCTTCAAAAGCAATAAGAATAAGAATAATAAATTGGACGTGCATTTTATCAAACTCTAAAGAAACGTTGACTAATGTTGGACTTATTCAACTATTTTGTTGCATTTAATTCTATAGCTTAGAAGTCAAAAGGGAGGAAGAAAATCTTACAAATATTTTAGGTTTGAAAGTTGACCCCAAGAGGCTGGAATAGATCCACTGAACTTATTTCGTGTAAGATTTAGATTTTGTAAGTTCACCAAGCTACTTAGATCAGGCAACTCACCTGATAGCTTATTATCATGTAAATCCCTGCATAAAAACAGGAAGAAAATCGGAGTTATTTTGTTATGAATATTATTTTCTAAATAACAAAAAAAAAGTACTATAAGTTCATTGGAGTTGGTTTTTACATATATTAAAGAAGCATTGGCATTTGGCAATTATACAAATGGCCATCACACATCAAAGGTGCCTCTTTCTGAAAATATAAAAAATTTAGGGAAGTTTTATAGCTTTGTTTATATAAATAACCATAAGATGGGTACTAATTTAATCTATCAAAGAAAAAAGTCAATATTTTGGCTTTAGATAGTCAAACCTTGTGACTTTATACCTAAAAGTTGGCATATGTTTTCGTGGTTTTATCTTCAAATGTTTCTAGTTAATAAATCTTATAAATATTTGAATGTAATTGTCAAGCTTTTCAATGTGTTAGTAGCATTTCTCTTTTTCAATTCCGAAGTTAACAACGAGTAGCTTATTTGACACATCAAAATTGCAATAGTTCATTGCTTTTAGACAGTGTAGTATTATTTCAAAATTCGTTTTGCCAAATTTCTAATGTAATAGGCTTAACACAATGAAAATTTGGTAAATCACCATAAATTATTAATAAATTACTCTATTCTACAAAAAAAAAAAAAAAAAAAAAAAAAAAAAAAAAAAAAACTTTAGGGAATCAAACCGTGACTTTAAAATTAAAAGTTAGCATACGTTTTTTCTAGTTTACATTCCGAAAATGTCTCTAACTTAACAACTTTTTATTTATTTAGATGTAGTTATCAACATTTTTAATGTGTTAAAAAGCATCTATCTTTTTGTCAATGTTAAAGTTTAATAGCAGCCTTTAGAAAGTCGTATTCTTATTTAAAAGTTCATTTTTTTCACCAAATGTAGTACGCATAACACATTTAAAGTCTGTACTCTGTAAATCACCTCAAGTTGGTTATAATTTAGTCTATCAAAAAAGTCAACATTTTGACTTTAGAGGGTGAAACTAGTGAGCTAAATTGAAGAATCGACATACGT